TATTGGTTCTACCATTAGACAAAACCTGGCTACTTTTTGAAACTCCTCAGGGCACTCCAAAAAACATTCCCTTCCCAGGACCATGTTTTACGTGCACCAAACCAGCCCTTTGGGCAAAGCAGTGCCCCAATGCAAACCCTCCTTCTAACCATATCCAGCTTGCAAAGGTCCTCACTGGAACTCTGACTGCCCAGGTCTTTCTGAAGATCACTTTCACAGTTACTCCCAAGACCTGTCAAATATTCCCAACCTCAGCTTAACTGCAAAAGACTGATTATTCCCAGAAAATCAAGATGTCCCCTGGCTGCTGTCCTAGAAAACTAAACTCTGGATATTTTTGCTAGTGGAAGGTAAACTGTTGTGCCCAAAAATTATTCTCCCAAATAGCCCCAACAGACGAACCCGAGACGCACTCCGATGTAAAAAGCATGAGGTGAGGTTTTATTCAAACCGATCTGGACTCTCCTGACATGCAAGCCTAGGACGAGCCCCGAACCTGGGGTGGAGCAAGTTTTTATGGGGTACAGAAAGCAAGAAGGGGAGGAGGGTATGAGTACACTTTTGATTGGTGGTTGGTGATTTCATTAGTAAAGGAGGATTTGGATTGGTACAGGTGAGCGGTGCGGGAAGGCAGCTGGGAGTGGCTTTGCAGGTTTTACTGGCAGGGGTTGGGGGCAGAGGGGCTAGGAATGGAGTTTGTGTAGTAAACAGTGGGGCTTGTGCAGTAAACCACTGTGTAGTAAACAACTAGGAATGGGGCTTGTGCAGTAAACCACAAAATGGAGCTAGTCTGGCCCTCTCAAAACCAATCTCTTTTTCCTTTTCTAATGAACATGGGGACAATGTTTTCCATGCTGGCACCTCATAAAGGCCTCCTAAAAACAGAGATCTCAATGGTGGGAATTAATAATAACTTACTGTGCCCTCAGGCTACTCCACCCTCGTGGAGCTGGAATCATGGCCTCCTTGGTTATTTCCTATGTTAAGGCCACTAATAATGATTTCTCTCATTCTCAGTTTCAAACCAGTAATTCTTGGTCTCATTTCCCAATTTATTAACCAGGCAATCACCAAGAAAGCAACAACTCATATCCTCACCCTATGTAGATATCAACTGGTTCAGGCTGAAGGCCCAAGAGTGTTCCTGTAAACATCACCCCCATTCTCCACCCCCTCCCTCAGGCCCCATTTTCCTTGCAGGCAGCCCATATCACTCCTCATTCCCACAGGAAGCAGTCAAAGAGACACCACGCCCATCACCCTGCCTCCTCATCAACCACGTGCTGCAGGTATACTTTCCGGTTTCTCTCCCCCTCCCTTCTAAAAGGCATCCTTAAAAGCCACTATCACTGGGACTCCCAGAAATCATTCTTGTGGTTCCTTCCCAAGCCCATGGTATTTGGAAATAAAGCTTTCTCTTATTAATCTACCATGACTGTGAGTTGATCTTTTCAGCAAACCAACCTAGGGGGAAAGGGCACGTTTCACTGGGACCCCAGTAGCTTTAGCATCAGGACCAGGAGCCTCAAACCAGACTGTTCTCCTGGGAGGCTGCAGCGGAAGGATTGGAACCCAGACACCAGCCCACGTATGAGATATTTTACTTACCAGTCGGGCTTCCAGGCTTCCTCTCTGTGGGCTCTGCTTGAGCAGACGGTAAAAGATCTCTTGTTCTTTCCACAGTTAAGATTGATATGAGAAACAGTTTTGTTAGTGACTAGTCTTGTAAGCGACTCTGGTATTGGTATATTTTGTGGTGTATGAATATTCATGTTGTTGTACTCCATCTCCTCTCAGAAATAGCTTTTATCGTTATTTTCATGAGGTTGTTTTGTTGTTGTTGTTGTTTGGTTTTTGGTTTGGGGGGCTTTTTTTGTTTTGTTTTGTTTTGTTTTGTTTTTTGTCTTGTTGCTTGTCTTTCTGTGTCATTTTGTCTGAAGAGGTTTACCATAGGCAGAACTCGGGCCCAGCCTCCACCTGCCCCACTCACACCGCCGCGTACCAGCAGTTAAACCGGCTGGTTTGGTGTCTAAATGTGAACTTTGTTGCAAGTCCCTGAAACAAAGACGTATGAAGTTACCCTCTTATCCTGTTCTGTCTCTGAGCTTGACTTTGTGACTGAGTGGGGGTTCTCTCCTCAGTCTCCACCAACTGGAGGGCAAGTTTTGTTGGGAACATGTCCGGTGGCTGGTCTGCGATGACCTGGAGTCCGAGACACCTAAGACATAAGCAGCACGCTGTGTGCACCAAACGTGTCAAACTCTGAGGAGTGGGTCTTTATCATTGTCTATTCTAACATAAGTCTATTTCTGAGAGTGAAGTTTGGACATCATGGGAACTGCCTCCTCTAAGCCCTCTCCAGGAACACCTCTAGCTTATCTGGTAAAAATTTACTCTGAGCCCAGAAGGCTACCACCAGGGCTTTCTGTAAAGAGGCTTATTAAATTGGGTTGCTTTTGGAATGAATGTACCAGAGAAAATTCTAATTATAAATGGCCAGAAGATGGATCCTTTGAACTAGAAAAACTCCTTAATTTAAAGAAAATTCTAGAGAGTGCACGTCCTAAGCAATTGCCTTATTTATATTTATGGGAAGATCAAATTGAAAGAAAAACAAACATCAGTGTTATACCTAGCCTTAAAAATTCCCTTGGCTCCGGGGCTGTGGCTCAAGTAGCTAAGGCTCCAGCCACGTACACCCAAGGTGGCAGGTTAGAATCCAGCCTGGGCCCGCCAAACAATGATGGCTGCAACCAAAAAATAGCCGGGCATTGTGGCGGGCGCCTGTGGTCCCAGCTACTTGGGAGGCAGAGGTAGGAGACTCACTTGAGCCCAGGAGTTGGAGATTGCTCTGAGCTGAAATGCCACAGCACTCTACCCAGGGGGACAGCTTGAGGTTCCTGTCTCAAAAAAAAAAAAAAAATTCCCTTAAAAAAACTGAAGAGCAGGCTCGGCGCCTGTGGCTCAAGCAGCTAAGGTGCCAGCCACATACACCTAAGGTGGTGGGTTCGAATCCCCAGCCCGGGCCGTCAAACAACAATGATGGCTGCAACCAAAAAATGGCCAGGCGTTGTGGTGGGCGCCTGTAGTCCCAGCTACTTGGGAGGCTGAGGCAGGAGACTC